CAGAAGTTCTACGAAAGCGAACAAGTGCCTACGGAAACACCAATGTCTGAGCAAGGCAAGTGGTGTGAAGAGTTTTTTAAAAAAACACACGGAAGACAAGCCAATGGAAAATATCTTGTTCGACTTCCGTTAAAATCACTTTACGACCCTAATCAAACGTAAGGAAAATCCAAGCAAATTGCACTTAATCGGTTTTTACACTTGGAGCGTAAATTTCAGCACAACAAAACCCTACTTGTTCAATACATGGAGGGTATAGACGATTATTTTCACCTCAATCAAATTGTTCCGGCAACAACGAGTGAGGAACAACATTATTTGCTCACTGCATCTAACAAGTCCACGTTCACATCCTGTGTTTTGCCGCACCACGCGGTAGTAAAGAAAGATAGATCCCACACTAAGGTGCGCATTGTGTATGACGCTTCTTCAAAAATATCAAATGGCCGTTCCTTAAACGATATGTTGTGCACAGCCCACCATTGCAAAATGACCTCTCAGCAGTCATCTTGAATTGGCGTCTGCACAAATTCGTTTTATTGGCGGACATACAAAAAATGTGCCGATGCATTGATATGCACCAAGATGATGCGCAATACCAACGCATTCTTTGGCGAAATAAAGATGGAAATGTCCAAGAATACTGCCTCACTACTGTGACCTTCGGCGCAGCCTCGGCTCCCTACACCGCAATCAGAGTCACTCACCAGCTCGCTCAAGACGAAAAGGAACGTTTCCCCCTTTGCTCAACGATATTTATGTTGACGATGTGTTAAGTGGAAGCGACACGATCTCCAGAGCCGTACAAATGCGAAATCAGCTTATTTCCGCTCTACAATCAGCCGGTATGGAACTCAGGAAGAGGTCAAGTAATACGCCTGAGCTTTTGCAGTCGATCCCTACAGAGTACCATTCATTTAGTGCTAGTTGGCAACTTAACGAAGACCAAACTGTCAAAACGCTTGGTTTGCACTGGCAGCCTAATAACGATTTTCTTACCTTTTCTTTAAACTTTTCAATATTTCATACAGCAACTAAAAGGTCTGTGCTAGCTACTATCGCGCGCATATTTGATCCGTTTGGATTCTTAAATCCGATAACTATTGCTGCCAAAATTATTCTAAAAGAAATTTGGTCAACGAAGATAAAGCGTCAAGACGAAAAACTTACCGGTTTAGAGTGGAATGAAGAGCTCCCATCGTCTCCCACCACCTCGTGGCAAAATTTCGTTGCTGAGCTACCTAATATAGAAAACATCTCAATACCACGCTGGCTTCATTACACACTACGGCCACACTCAATGGAAATACATTCCTTCTGCGACGGATCGTTATCTGCTTACGCAGCTGCCGTATATCTGCGCATACAATACCAACATGGTGGGATCCACACCCATCTGATCACGTCTAAAGCCAAGGTAACACCCCAGAATCTAATTACGATTCTACGAGTAGAGTAATGTGGTGCAGTGTTAGCTAAAACCGTTGCCAAATGGGCGCAAAAACACTTACAACAACGCTGTGGTGAGATTCCGATATATTATTGGACCGATGCGACGATCGTCATCCACTGGATTGCCGGTGATATACACCGATGGAAACTCTACGTGGCGAATCGCGTAGCTAAAATTTTGTTAGTTAGCTTGCCCAGTCAATGGAGTCATGTCAAAACTCAGGATAATCCGGCCGACTGCGCGACTAGAGGTTTAACTCCGACTTAACTTAAACAATTCGATCTTTGGTGGATCGGTCCTGCATGGCTACGGCAAGATAAATCGACCTGTGCTATTTCTTCCAGTAGCCTAGACGATATCGACAGCACAGCTACCAAAGAAAAACCAGCTAAAGTATTAGCTCATTCGATAATTGCCGAAACTTCGTTACTACTACGATATTCTTCCTATATCAAACTGGTACGTATAACAGCTAGGCTGCTACGATTTTTTCATAATCTGCGCAAAAATCGCATTGAAGACCGTCACAGTGGACCGCTCACCACTAACGAACTTCAACAAAGTCTCTTTCGAATTGTTCACATGGTACAGGGTGAAACCTTTGGGTCTGAAATTTGATGTATTAAGTCTAAAATCAACATATCCACAACAAGCAAACTAGTCAGTTTGACACCTTTCCTAGATGGAAAAGCATATGCGGTCGTTTACATCATGCGAATCTACCATATGATCAAAAGCACCCCATGATTTTGCCGAGCACTCACCACTTTACGAAACTTCTAATCGACTTTGCTCACCAAATTACACTACATGGTGGCGCGCAATTGACGCTTACATACATCCGTAAAAAATTTGGATCATCCACGCTCACAAAACTGTGAGACATCATCTCCGTCACAAACCTTCGTTACACCCGGGCACTTTCTAATCGGCGATGCTTTACTGTTACCACCGGAATCGTCTCCTGAAAACAAATCGTTGTCGTTACAATATTTTGAGCTCCAAAGATTGGTTCAACAGTTTTGGATAAGATGGTCCACAGATTGGCTCTCGCATTCTCAAGCGCGTGCTAAGTGGAGACGACAAGATCCAAATCCAGCAGTTGGTGAACTTGTCTTGATAAAGGATGATCGATTACCACCCAATCAATGGTTATTGGGGCGTATTACGGATCTACATCCCGGATCAGACAGCCTTGTTCGTGTCGTCACTGTTCGTACGCAACACGGTCTTTACAAGCGGTCGATTTCTAAAATTTGCAAATTGCCGATTCCAACTTGCAATGATGCCAACCTAATTCACTAACCCCATTGTTATTTTCTTATAGTCACCACGGTACCTTAACTAACTCGCTGTCATCAAAAACAAACGTTCGTCATAATGCTGGAGTCAGCATCGGGGGCGGCATGTACAATTTGTAGAGAAAACTTATGCAACTCACTGTACTACATCAGTGAAACACAGTCTCCCCTTCGGTACCGCCACTGTCTACGAGAGCTATAGTAACAACTTGCACTTGCTAAGCAGTATACTCGTTCTCTAACGTCCGCTTAGCTCCACTCACGATGTAACGGAATAGCACCAACTTGCTCAGCGACACCTATATGTATACTCCCACTCCATGCAAGGGACGGTTATGGTTGCATTGTTCTGGGAGCTGACGAGGAAACTCAGTACAAATCAAACAGCGGCCAGAAACACCACGGACCGTGGTGCACACATCTTGTACTAATACTATATCAACTATACATATTATAATTGTACTCAATAAATATCATCTTATTAACGACAAATGAACGATCATTTTAGAGAAGGACAGAGCAAAGGGACCCCGTTACTATAGTATTCGTCAATACTACACACGCAATGTAATAGGAGTATTTTACTAGCCTTCCGTTTTATAATTTATTTTAGAAATAAACCACTAATAGCTCGCTATAAAATTATCCTCAAAATATATTCCTTGAAATAATTTTGGAATAATTTTTTTTTTAAGTAATGTAACGAAGCGTTTTTGTTTGCCCCGATGCTTCTTCTAGAATGCTGGGATATACTCGCCGTGTCCCGGGTTCGTTACAATAAATTTGTAGTTTCGGGGCTCTGGTAAATCGTACTCTATTATTTAATTTTCCTTAATTTCTATAAAAGAACATATAACAAATAACAATTTGACACATTCGGTAGCGTCACTTGCAGTGACTGGGTAACGGCTCCTTGTTCCGTTAAGAGCCCGTTAGGCTGTAGTGGCTTGACTTTGGTACTGGTGGGCAGCGCTGTGCTGACGCCGCTGAGTGGCGCGCTGCTAACGTCTATAAATGGCGTTCTGGCCGCGTCGGTATGTAGCGCTCTAGCAATGTGGGTTGCGCTCTAGTCGTGCCGGTGAGTGGCACTCTAAAAACGTCGGTGAGTAGCGCTCTGGTGACGCCGGTATGCGGCGCTCTCGCAATTTCGGAGAGTAGCACTCTAGTCGCGTCGATGGGTGGCGCTCTGATGACGCCGCTGAGTGGCGCGCTGCTAATGTCGCTCTGCTGACGGCGGCGTCTACTCCCCCTCGCTTAGGTACGCTGTCACGGCCCTCTACTTCCGAAGAGGCGATATCCTGTACAGATATAAATCGTCGCACAAGGTATCTCCACTCGGTCGAAGTTGTCGTCGCGGCCACAGCTCCTTGCTGACTCACTGCTGATCGGCTGTGTTTTAACTTTAATAGGCTGTGTGCTTGATGTTACGTGGTCGCGCAGCTACATGTTGCTGTGTGATGTTGCGTTGTCATGGCACCGAAGGTGCTGTCGGGTGTTGCCATGACTCGTGTTGCTGTGACTTGTTGCGTAGCTGGCTGCTTGGGATTGTGTTGCTGTGCTTTATTGTGTGGCTGGTTGTTTTGATGGCGGGTATTTGTGTGGGCCAAATTCCTCACGGATATTTGGTCCTCACTGTAAAAAACCACGTTTTAGAGTCTTCAAAGAATATGGCAGCTTCAATTTAAAAGAAAACGTCAAAAGCACAGTTTACGTCAAATGGGAGCAATGGCGGTAAAGAAGAATAAGTGAAACCAAGTGGAACGACTTAAGAAATTTTAACAACAAATAACTTATAAACAATGATATAGGCCCGTAGTCATAGTCAAAATAAAGTCGACTTTAAAGTTAGTTGCAGCTTTTTGACATAATTTTCAATGGGATATCTGTCAAAAAAGCTGCAACTAACTTTAAAGTCGACTTTATTTTGACTATGACTACGGGCCATTGTTTATATTTTTTACTTACACATGTTTTAGAGGATACCTCCCTTAACATCCTGACCAAGTTTCATTTGTTTATTCCACCTGGTTTTCTTAAAACACAAGGTGCGGCTGACTACTAAAGCCCACCCAAAAACACACCTACAGCCTGCCAGAAAAAACGGTAAGAAGAAGAGTAACTTTAATTATGGAACCTTACGATGGTACAAACCACATGTCTGTCAGAGCTTTGATAAATATTTCTTTATTGTCTTGACAGCATTGCCTAATGTAAAAGCGGGTAAATTTTATCATCGATAACTGAAATCGATTATTTCGAGCAAATCTTCGATTCTGGAAGGCAATCGGAATCCATTTTTCCATTTTTAGTTTGACGCTTTTTGTTGATTTGTTAATTATGCAAGAGCATGTTTACAAATTTTTGTATAATACCCTTTACAAACTGTAAGATTTGATCATAGGGTTCAATTACAAAATGAATCGAGTTTGGTCAGCAAAGTGGATGAGTGCTCAAAATGTACGTTTGTTGTATACCAAAGGTTTGGGAAAATGGCCTTTGAACAGCTTGGTGGAATTGAATAGAAATTATTCCCTTTTACTAAAAATTTCGATAGAAACGAATATATGCGGTAAGATACCAAACGGCTACTTGCATTTAGAAGTATAGATCTCTAAGCTATCGTGACGTATTTTCATTCATGTATCAACTTCAATATTTTTAGACCTGATGAAACAAAATATTTTTGGAAACCCATTCATCCGTTCCCATTCGACAATAAGTGAAGCGATTAGAAAAAAAAAAGAAACGTGTGGTTAAACCTCGCTATTCCAAATATGTTGAGCTCCTGGAAGGTAAGCAAAATGTTTGCCCCGAAAAAAGGAAGAGGTATAAGTGCAGAATCCGTACATTTCTCTGATTAACAAAGTTTATATTCAGATCGATAGGGGTTTTAGTCCTTATCAAAACAGTATTCTTTTTTTAAGGTGGAAATATTTTATTTGTATTTATTTATTTATTAAAGCTTATACATGTTATTAATATATATACAACCTAATCATGCTGCGCTAGCATCAGAGGCTATCAGCTGTCCGTTGAATAAATATTTTGTTTTAAATTCTTCTCAGTTGGTCACATTCTTTTAAAAATTTGTATACCGTTCTTATATTCTCCTCAGTTGTATTCGAAAGAAGACAAACAGGGTCTGTATTAAAATTGTATTGCCTTTATCTTACAGTATTGGGCAAAATTCCAGTAGAACAGTTGTTGAGTCACAAAATGGACAGATGTTGGTTCTATTTCTCCCAAGGAGGTGAGCATGCGTCACTCTAGTGTGTCCAAGCTTTGGTCAACCGTGAGGTCGCTGTCCAATCCGACGAAGCACGACGACAGAGTCGAAATTTCCTTCGGCGACCATGCTCCGGCGGACCCGGAGCGATGCGCGAGCTATTTTAGCCGGCAGTTCATACTGCATCCTCCGGTGGACAAAGCCAAGCGTCGAGTGACCAGAAGGCTGCACAAACTGCCAACAACCTGTGCCCCCCTTGCTTTCACTTGCGGTGAAGTTCAGGTGGCCATCGGGAAGGCGAAAGCCTCCAAAGCCATGGGTCCCGACGGAATATGCATGCTTATGCTGAAAAATTTGGGTCCTGCGGGGGTAGCGTACCTAACGGAGGTCCTCAATTTGTCTATGGCCACTCTCATCATCCCAGACATCTGGAAGGTGGGGAGAGTGGTCCCACTACTCAAACCGGGCAAACCTGCCAACAAAGGAGATTCTTATCGTCCGATAACACTCCTTTCCCCGGTAGCGAAGACACTCGAAGCCTTGCTACTCTCGTATTTCACAAACCACTTGACCCTAGCGAAGCATCAGCATGGTTTCCGTAAAGTGCACAGTACAACAACAGCACTTAACGCCATAAACACTCAGATAACTCGTGGCCTTAACCGAAACTGTCCCTGTGAGAGAACGATTCTAGTAGCGTTGGACTTGTCAAAGGCATTTGACACCGTCTGCCATTCCACGCTACTAGAAGATATAGATGCCTCCTCTCTCCCACAGAGGCTCAAACGGTGGTCGGCAAATTATCTGAATGGTCGACACTCGTCGGTAATGTTTAGAGACAAAACGAGTAAATTCAGGGAAATAAAACAGGGGGCTCCTCAGGGTGGTGTCCTTTCTCCGCTACTGTTTAACTTTTACATTTCAAAGCTCCCTCAACCACCAGAGGGAGTCTCGATTGTCTTCGATCATGGCGACTGGGAATGGAATTGATGACCTGTGTTCGAAAGTAAACGGGTATCTCTCCGAACTTTCTCGCTTCTTCACTGCAAAGTGTCTAGCCCTCTCCTACGAAATCCTCTGCGACCCTGTTCACAATCTGGACGAAGGAGGTCAGGCTACCGCTGGGAATTCACGTCGATGACACACCAATTCCGACGGTGAATAACCCTAAAATAATCGGAAGAACATTCGAAAGCCTGCTCTCCTCTGCGCACGCAACCGCTATTGTCAATAAAGTACAGAGCCGCAACAAGGTCCTCAAGTCGCTAGCCGGCGGTACTTGGGGCAAAGACAAAGAAACGTTGCTGGCAACATACAAGGCAATAAGCCGGCCGGTTTTGAACTACGCAGCGCCAGTGTGGTCGCCGGGGACTAGTAGGACGCAGTGGACGAAGCTACAGACTGTACAGAACACTGCACTCAGGACAGCGACAGGATGCCTCCTGATGTCGCCCGAACACCATCTCCACGGCGAGGCGCAAATGCTCCCCGTAAAGGAGCACAACATAATGCTCTGCAAGCAGTTCCTGATCGGGAGCCACAGAAGTGGCCACCCAAACAGACAGCTGCTTGCAGAGGAGCCCTCGCCTAGGCACGTCAGTAGGCATCTATATGAACTGACGAACGAAGTCCAGAGGTTCATCAAGCAACCTCTGGACCCGTCAGCTTACCGACTGGCCCTGAACGGCATTCACAGGGAGTCAGTCTCGAGTTATGTAGACTCAAGACCTGTGATTGCCGTTCTAGGTATACCGCCCCCGGACACAGACGAGACGGAGCTTCATCTGCCTCGGGAGGCGCGAACGACACTAGCACAACTTCGCTCCGGCTACTGCAGCAGGTTAAACTCCTACCTGAGTAGATTGAATGAGGATGTGCCAAATGAGTGTCCGGCATGCGGAGAGACCCCACATGACTCGAAACATCTCTTCGCATGCCCGGAAAACCCGACAACCCTAACGGCCTTGTCCGTGTGGACCAACCCTACAGAAGCTGCACGCTTCCTAGGGCTGCGTTAGTGGAACTTGACGACAACGACTAAGATACCAACCGTCCTGGGCGGGGTTGTTGTAGCCGCTACAACAACAACAACATAGTGTGTCCAATCCGAAGACGTATGTAGGGGTTTGAGTAAATTTGTAGGTATTGTTGATGGGTAATCTGGTTTGATCCTGGCTGTGTTCACTATTGAATATTGAGGATTTTTTTTTATTTTATTTTTTATTTAAGAAAGATTATATCATAATAACAATTACTATACAACCTATGAAACAGCAGCGCTAGCAGCAGAGGCTTTCGGCTGGCTGGTGAAAAAGGCTTTGTCTTAAATGCGTCGGAGAAGATCAGTATCATTGAGAAAATTGTAAATTTTGCATATCGTCACTAGACACGAATAAAGGCCCGAGCTCAAAAAATTACGGCGAAAAAAGACGCATAAAAAAACTTCAGCGTCAAAGACTCTTAACATACTTCGCCGAAGTTTTTCATAAGCTTTTTTTTCGCAAAATTTTTTTACGCGCCTTTTTTCGCCGTCAAAACACTAGCGCGCCTTTATTCGTGTGTAGTGACGATATGTTGTTAGTAGAAGGGTTCATTAGTAATCCAAATGGATCATCATTTACAAAAATGCGATGTATGTGATTTGCCAGAACAGTACAAAAAGCTACAATGTGTAGAACGCTAACGGTGGAATCACAATAAGGACACTGGTTAGGACTGGTACCATTCAGTAGATGACTGTTTGTAATAATGGTGTGGCCAATACGTAATCGTATATAGGGAGTGATGTAGTTTGCTGGGACGGACGTCGAATAAGTTGGTTTAGACCGATTAATGTTACTGCGGGAGTAATGGTGGGTATAATTCATCCAGTCAGCTGCTAACTTGGCACTTCTTTGTTGAGCTATAACCCGGTTTATGTCGCTCTTGATGAAGAGAGATGAGGTCATTGTAGGGATGTTGCACATTTCTTTGACAGTTCTGTCCGCCATCGAATTGCCTTTGATGCCCGAAACCCACATAATTCTCAGTTTGTGGGGGGAAGCGATTAGGACGTTTCTTAAAGCACAGACAATGTAATTAGTATTGCTGAAGTTTTGAATGGCTTTAAAGCAAGATAAGCTATCTGTGCAAATGACAAATTTTCCTTTACTTTGCTTAGAAAAGTTAAAAGCGTGAAGAATGGCAGTAGCTTCAGCTGTGAAAACAGAACAGAAGGGTAGCAGAAGACCGTACGATATAGGTATATTATTTTCTTTCACAGCAGCGAAAGAGGTGTTAGAAAATTTAGATCCATCAGTAAAAATGAACTGCCAGCCACTCGATTTGAACTGATTTGCAACTTCAGAGAATCGGGTTATGTACTCAGAGCTAGTTGTGCTGCATTTAGGAAGGGTAACAAGATCGCTGACGAATGATCCTTCTTTAATTGTCCATGGCGGGTGATGAGTACATTTATAAATGGTGGATTGAACCTTAGGTAACCGCTTCCGTGAGGCAGCTCTATAAAAGTTTTTCAGAAGCAGAGAGATGGAGCCAGTGACGAATTTTGGGTAGAGCTTATAGATGGAATCTACCATTATGTCGTTTAACGAAGGCAACCCAGCTTCAGTTAACATATCCTTTATTGGAGATGTAGGGAAGGCGCGAAGAGAGCGGCGACCAGCAGTATGGTACGGAGCTGCTAGCATCTTAAGATTATGTTTGCCATGATGCCCATATATTTCTAGTCCATGGCTGATAGTCGACAATATGAGAGCGGAGGTGACCTTCAACAGCAGAGCCGGGCCAGTGAGTGAGCGCTTGCACGAAAGATACTTAATAATACTTAAGCTAGATAATAGTTTATCTCTTGTATGTTTACAATGATCCTTGAATGAGTACTTAGAGTCTAATACAATGCCGAGAAACTTAAGTCTATTTGTACAAGGTATATTTACATTACTAAAAGACAGTAAAGGAATAGTACAATTTCGTTTCTTAAATACAAATATGTATCCATTTGGATTTAGAGGATGAGATTGAGGCGCCTGAAGAACGTGACAAATTGTATATGAGAGATAGAATTTCAGTAAAAGATACCATAACCGAAGATAGATTAGAAGTTTTAGAAAATAGTAGCAAATCATCAGCGTAAATAAGATGGCTGACATTAGGAAATTTGTTTATAGTTGCGTTCGATAACAAAATTAGCCAACACCAGCCAACAATCAAAATCAAGAGAGTAAGCGAAAATTCTCTCCCAAAGAGATGAAAAAGCAAAAAAGTAAACGAACAGGAAATTAGCCATTACTTGCAAAAACCGGAAGAAGAAGACACACCAGCTGACTTTGTTTATGTTTTATTTGTAAACAAACTGAAATTCATGTTGTCTCCATAGAAGGCAAAAAGAAAGTGAACGTTCAATGTTCGCCAGAAACATTTTTAGAAGTAAAAACTAGTTGGCGCTATCATAAAGTCACATAGCAGGCAGCCAAAAGGCATATAAATACCAAAACTCGGAAAATGCAATTTTGTTTGTTTACAAAAATTGCAACCATATGTTTTGTGATCATCTGTTTTCGTGTTGGATAATTTTTGCTGACTAAAATTTTGCCAATACAAAATGAACGCTTCTCTGGCATCAAAATAAACGCTTGCTCTCTCAATTTTTGTGTGTTGGATAATTTTTTGTCGTTATCGAATGCCATCCAGTAAAAATTTGGAAAACTATTACAAATTTTTTACTTGTCGGACGCACCTTATGATGACACTAATTTCATCAAATGCAATAATAAAAAGAATAACAGAAAGATGGGAACCTTCCATTATCAAGAGGAAAGGTAGAAGAGAGACTGAAGAAAAGATTTCATAAAATTGTATATACGAGGGCCAACTTTCCATTCAATAAGCTGTCTTAATACCACATGGATGCCAATACGGTCAAAGGCTTTTAAAAAATCTATCGAGAGTAACGATATGTGATCTCTGGAAGACAATGCTTCCGAAACAAAATTATCTAAATGCAAAAGAGCGTCAATAGTGCCCTGCCCCCTCTTAAATGCAACCTGGTTAGGGTGGAGAAACTTATTCTTATGAACATACCAGGTGAGCCTGGATGCAATA